CGGGCACTTGGGGTCAGTACTGTTTCACCGATCCCTATCCCCATCCCCATCCACATCTCGGGCCCCACCGCCTCACCACCTCAGTTGGGGATATGCCCCCCGAAACCCGAAAAGGGAGCAGCCTATATCCCCATCCAGGTGGGCAACTCGGCCGGTGGGGCCCCATCCCACGCTGGTGGGGCTGGGGATCGGTTCCACGGGGCGGGGATCGGCGCCTTTTGGGCGGGGGGGGGTGGCTGGGGGGGGGAGGGACGCTACGGGACATGGCCACTTCGCAGGTCTAGAGGTTGACACCAACACCAATATCGGTGGTGTGCCTCCACCGAGGGAAGAGGATCCCGATCTCGGTGATATTGGTAATATTCTTGCTTCCAAGGTGGCCGAAATCCATTACCACCAACACCGAAATCTAGGATCATCTTCCCCATGTGGAGGTAGCCCCCTGTGCTGGTGTTGGTGCCAATTCCCAGGCCTCCAACTACTCGTGCCTTGTGTTTTTTGGTGTCAGCGTCTTGGTCGGGCGGCAGCAGCGCAGGGATTCGGCGGACCAGCAGTGAGAGGACGCTGGGTTCGGTGTGCCGGGGGTCTTCCACAGTTGCCTCGCAGGAGCGGGAGCAACGGGACACAAGGGCCCGACACACACTCCAGCCGTTGCAAGCACGGTGGCGGATAGAGTCACGCAGGCCCACATGTTTGTCCGCTCGAGCCATGGATGCCGAACGCGAGCCGTCGAGTTGGCGGGGCCGCTGCGGTGTTCGAGCGTTCGTATGTTATGTTATGGGAGTGTTGCGGGTGTGGGTCGGGTCCGTCGCGGCGTTTGAGCTATCATCTGTTGTGGGGGAGGCTGCGGAGGTGGGCGGGCCAGCTGTGTGTGATGCTCGGGCTGACGACCTGGACGCCGTAAGTGTCCTGCTATTGCTGCCTGTATCGTGGCCCTCGTTATGTCGTGTCCCCTCTTCTTCTGTTTCCTGTTCCCTTTCCATCTTTTCGTTTTCTTTGTGATCGTCCACCTTCCCCTCCTCTTCGCATGCGTCAATTTATTTGTCCGTGGCATGGACCTCCGTTTCTTGTTAACCCGCCTCGCCCTCTTCTTCTCATTATTCTTCTTTTTCTTCTTCTTCTTCTTCTTCTTCTTCTTATTCGCCCTAGTGCTGTTACTCTGATTGTTAGTCCTCCTCCACCCTTCCTCGTGCATAATGTGGATGGGACAGGAAAGCCATCCCCAGTTTATCATAGCCCTGGCTTGCAGGTCCACGGATCCGTGGATCCCACTTTCTGCGGATCCATGTTAGTAGTTGTGAATTGTACATTTTGTAATCGTAGCAGTGTTGTATGCTCACTCGGGTAAAATCAATGGGATCCACGCGGCAGGCACACAGAACATTGGGATACGGAATACTGGTACGTGGAATTCTCGTGAGTTCTGCATGCATGCAGCAAGCACATGTCGTCGACCTGGGGATATTGGATCCTTGCAGACAATCAGTTTAGTGGAAGAGAAGGTGGTGGGCCCTTCAAGCAGAATGTGGGCATAAGCTGCCCCTCTTCCTGCTCCACCTCCCACCTCCTCCTGCTTCTCCTGCGCCTCCTCCCCCTCCCCCTCCGCCTCCTCCTCCCGCTCCCCCTTTTTCCGTAGCCATCTTGGCTCAAGATCTCATGCCGGGGAGTTGGCTCAAGATCTCATGCCGGGGGGGCACTCAGCCTCCAGGTCAAAACGGATACCGCTGTCACCGCGGCTCGGTTTCCTTTTCTTGCGACGTCTGGTCCGCCCCAGGCGTCGTCTGCCTCCTGCGCCCGCAGGCGAGCAGGTGTTTTGCTTTTGCTGCACGGATGGACCATGGAGACACACGCGGGCAGGCCGCTTACAAGTGGCACTGCACGAGCTGCAAGAATGCTCGCACGGGCAAGCAATGGTGGAACATGGCACACGCGAATAAGTGTGTGCTGAGTGGATTGGCGAAAGGTGTCACGTTCGGGGGCAACGTTCAGTCCTCGGAGCCTTCAGTCCGCACCGAGCAGCCCCAGCAGCCCCAGCAGTTCCCATGGAGAGGCGGGTCTGAGGCGTCACAGGTGCAGGCCAAACGCATTCGAGAGCTTGAGGCGCAGGTCCGAGCTCTGCAGTCGGAGGCCCCTCGTGGTGGAGCCTCGCTTGGCGAAGCCATGCTGGTCGACGATGACGCCAAGGAGGACGAGGTCGAGTCACGTCGTAGGCTCAAAAAGGTCGAAGAGCAGCTGGCGTTCGTTTCCAAGTGCTCTGGTGATGCCAAGGCGGGTGCTTTCGTTGAAGCGCTGCGTGCCGAAAAGGAGTCCATCCACGCTAAGCTTCAGGAGTCCCGCCCGATGTATGCGAAGTTGTAGACGATGTCCAATCGGCTCAAGTCGGCGGAGAAGCGGGCGGGGGCATCTCGCGAGTTGGTGACAGCGAGGAAGGAGCAGCTACTGGAGGTCCAGAAGAGCCTGCAGCAGGCCGATAAGGACTTCAAGGAGCAGGAATACGAGGTGGTTGCCCTCAGCGCGCAGGTGCAGGAGCTCGCGAAGCGGGCCCCTGCAGCGCCTGACGAGGCAGATCTACAAGCGAGAGGCAAACACATGCGTATTGACGTGCAGGCCCTGGGCAAGATGCTGGAGCAGCAGTGCCTGGGGGCTGAGCAGGCGCCTGTCTTGGCGCAGGCGTCGGCGTCCAGCATGGGGCAGTTCTTGCAGTCGGAGCCGAAGGAGGGCGTCGCGCCCGAGGAGATGCCTGCTCCTGTTGCGCCGAAGTCGCCCGTGGGCGTCGTCGGGGGCGAGGCGCCTGCCGCAGCCGCGGCCGCGGCCGAGGCGAGCGTCGCCGCCGAGCTCATGTCTGACGTTGTTCGACAATGCCGGACAGCGACTTGCAGTCGTGCAGCGTCCGTATTTCGCATTCAGCAGGATGGGTGGGAGTTACATGATGATCAGACCTCTGATTTCTCTAATTTCTGAGGTCCGTGGGCCCCCCGAGTGCCGCGAGCCCTTGTTCTGGGGTTGCCGTCGGCGCTAGGAGCGGAGAGCGCGCCGCTGCTGGTGGGGCAGCGCGGGCGGGATCCGACTGCCACGAGGGGCGGCGTGACGGCCAGGGGGGGGCAGGGCCGGTGTTGGGGAGCAGCTCTCCGAGCGCCCTATTGTTCCCCCGCCCGAGGCAGGCGCGGCCGCGCGACCGCCCCATGTGCTCTGGGCCCTCCTCCTCCTCCTCCTCCTCCTCCTCCTCCGCGCCGCCCAGTACTCTCCCAGATGGCCAGGGATGTGTCTCACCTGGGCTGGGGGCAGCGGCTTTTCGGATGGCGCCCTCGGCTATTTCCCCAGATGGCCAGGGATGTGCCTCCCCTGGGCTGGGGGCAACGGCGTGCCGGATGGCGGCTTCGGCTACTTCCTCAGATGGCCAGGGATGTTTCTCCCTTTGCCTGGGGGCAACGGCAGGTCGGATGGCGTCGTCGGCTTCTTCCCCAGATGGCCAGGGATGTGTCTCCCCTGGGCTGGGGGCAATGGCACGTCGGATGGCGGCGTCGGCTGCCTCCCCAGATGGTCAGGGGCGCGTCTCCCCTGGGCTGGGGGCAACTGCAGTTCGGATGGCGTCGCCGGCTGGCGTCGGATCGCAGAGTCCTAGTGCGTCGCGGCGGCTACTAGGCCCCGTCGCCGCGGGCGTCAGTCCACAAAGTACTGGTGTGCCATTGCGGCAGCCAGGCGCCGCGTCGCCACGTGGGCCAGCGAGCCCAGCCATTGGGTATGTTCCTGGAGATGGTTGCCCCGAGCTCAAGCTTATCGGCGCCATCGCCGCAGTCCATGTCGGAGGGCCTGGTCTGTTGAAGCTCTGCGTGGAGACGTGTCGGTCGCAGATCGTGGTCGCTCAGGAGCATCGCGCCTTGGATCAACGCCTTCCTTCTCTCCGGGCTCATGTCCGAGATCTGGGTTATGGTGGTCTCTTTGCAGGCGCAGTCGAGACCGAGCTGATGGTCGACGTGGAGGGCGAGCGGATCTTCGAGGTCCCTGTCGCGCTCTTCGCGAGCTCGGCGCAGCCTTCCGAGGAGGATGGCCAGGGCCTGACGGGCGCTGCGGCCGCGGGGGGTCGCGCCCCCCCCCCCCCCCCCTCCCCCATGCTGCAGGAGGCGGTCCCGCGGCAAGTGGATGCGTTGCGGGCGTCGTGAAGGCGCTGACTGCAGAGAAGACCAAGACGGCATTGAAAAGGCCGCGGCCCCTTGGATGGCCGCGGGAAGCCCGCCCTGCAGAGGGGCGACAGCGACGGCCAGGTCCCCGACCACGGCCTGCGCGCGCGGCTCGCGAACGAGATGGAGCACGCTGAAGAGCTACTTCGCAGTGCGCGCCGGAGGCGGCCGTAGCGCGCAGGTTGCTCCGCCGCGGCGGCGTGGAGGCGAAGGGGGCCTGGCGGCTGCTTCTTGGGCCTCGGAAGAGCAACGCGCCGCGCGCCGCCGCCGCCTTCCGAGTGGCAGCGCTGCGGTGCGACGCCGTCCAGCGGTCGTATTGCGGCGGCCTGGGTGTCCGCGATGCGGAGGAGCTCATCGGCGAGCTCGCCGGAGTCCGCGCGGCCCCCCACGAGGAGGCCCCCGCGGCGCGGAGCGGCTGAACTCGCCTGGGCGCCGCCCGCGCTTTCAGCGAGGGGGCGATGGCGGGCGAGGCGGCAGAGAGTGCGGTCCGCTGCCGCGGCCCGCGCGCCCCTGGGGGCGCGGCGGCGGGCGCGGCGAGCGGGCGCTGAGCATGTCGCGGGCGCCGCTTTCGACCTGGGGCCGGACTTCACGGGCCCAGTTCGGCGCGGGCAGAGCCCGGGGTTAAACCCAGGCTTGGCCCGCGCTTAGGAGGGGTCCTGAGGGGTCCCGTGTCGTGAATTCGTCGTGCGTGGCCTTCTCAGGTCTTGTCTTGCCTCCTCCTCCTCCTCGTCCTCCTCCTCCTCGTCCTCCTCCTCCTCCTCCTCTTCCCCCCCCCATCCACCCCCCTCTCCCCCGTGCCCCCGCCTCGGGTCGCCCCCGAAGGAGGCCGCCGCGGAACCGCGCGGGGCCGCGCCCGCGGGGGCGGCGCCGCCGCTGAACCGCGCGTCGCCCGCCGATGCGGCCGCCCGCCGCAGGGGGGCGGGGGGGGGGGGGGCAATGCGTGTTTGGTTGGGTTTGTCATGTTGTGCGCGTTTGTGGACATATAGAAATCAAGGGGGGGGGTACAGGAGGAGGAGGAGGAGGAGGGCCTTCCAAGAAAAGGAAGAGGAGGCTGAGGAAGTGGAGGAGGAAGGGGGGAGGAGGAGGAGGAGGAATAATACTAATGATAAGAGTAATAGCAATCTTCATAATAATACGAAGAATGCAAAGGCACAGAAGAATACTAACACGATTACTAAGAAAACTAACAAGACTATTAATACTAAGAAGAAGGCGGTTACTAATATTATTAGTAATCATACTAGTAATAATCAGAAAAGGCCGAATAATGACATTACTAGTAATACTATGAACAATCATACGACGAAAACGACTCATACGAATAATATGCGACGTAATAAGAATAAACATAAAAATGGAACTATGAATGAGAGCAACAATAATAGTGTTAAGACGAGCACGAATAACAATACCACTAATACTATTACCAATACTAATGATACTACTAACAACACTAATACGCATAAGCGTACCAAGAATACGAACACTAATACCATCAATAATAAGAGGTCATACTAAGACGAAGACTAATATCACGAATCAACGGAGGAATACTACGATTGATACTGCGAAGAAGAATAATCATACTAATATTATTACTAAGACGAGAATTACCACTAATAACAATATTATTATTAATAATACGAATAATAATACTAATAATACTAGTAGTAATAGTAATAATAATAATACTAATAATAATAGCAATAATGGTATTAATACTAATAATACTAACAATAATACTACTACTACTAATATTAATAATACTAATAATAATACTAGTAGTAGTAATAATACTACTAATAGTAATACTAATAATAATAATACGGCTATAAGAATAAAAAAACAATAGTACAAATGCGAGTAAGCCAATAAGGATACGAATGGTCATGCTAATACGAATAATACGAATCGTCAGAAGAATCATAAGGAGAAGAGGAGGAGGAGGAGGAGGAGGAGGAGGAGGAGGAGGAGGAGGAGGAGGAGGAGAGGAGGAGGAGGAGGAGGAGGCGGAGGAGGGAGGAGGAGGAGGAGGAGGAGGAGGAGGAGAGGAGGAGGAGGAGGAGGAGGAGGAATGAGGCGGAGGAGGAGGAGGAGGAGAGGAAGGAGGAGGAGGAGGAGGAGGAGGAGGAGGAGGAGGAAGAGAGGAGGAGGAGGAGAGGGAGGAGGAGGTGGAGGAGGAGTAGGAGGAGGAGGATGAGGAGGAGGAGGAGGCGGAGGCGGAGGCGGAAGGCGGAGAAGGAGGCGGAGAAGGCGGAGGAGGGGAGAGGAGGAGGAGGAGGAGGACGAGGCAGGAGGAGGAGCAGGAGGAGGAGAAGAGGAGGAGGAGGAGGAGGAGGAGGAGGCGTGAGAGGAGGACAGAAGAGGAGGAGGAGGAGGATGGAGGAGGAGCCAGGAGGAATAGGCGGAGAGAGGAGGAGGAAGGAGGAGGAGGAGGAGGAAGGAGCAGGAGGAGGAGGAGCAGGAGGAGCAGGAGGAGGGAGGAGGAGGAGCGCGGAGGAGGAGGAGGAGGAGGAGGAGGAGGAGGAGGAGGAGCGAGGAGGAGGAGGAAGAGGAGGAGGCAGGAGGAGAGGAGGAGGAGGAGGAGGAGGAGGGAGGAGTGAGGAGGATGGAGAGAGGAGGAGGAGGCAGGGAGGAGCAAAAAGGAGAAGCGGAGGAGGAGGAGGAGGAGGAGGAGGAGGCGGAGGAGGAGCAGGAGGAATAGGAGGAGGAGGAGGAGGAGGAAGGAGGAGGAGCAGGAGGAGGAGGAGGAGGAGGAGGAGGCGGGAGGCGGCGGGAGGAGGGGAGAGGAGGAGGAGGAGGAGGAGGAGGAGGAATGAGGGGAGGGGAGGGGGAGGAAGGAGGAGGAGGAGGAGGAGGAGGAGGAGGAGGAGGAGGAGGAGGAGGAATAGTAATACTTAGAGGAAGGAACAGAATAAGCATAATAAGCATACTATTACTGTTGATAGTAATAATACTACTATTATTAATACTATTAATAATAATAATAATTCTAATAATAAGAAGAATAATAATAATAACCATAATAATAATATAATCATAATAATATTAATAAGACTATTATTAATAATAATAGTACTAATAATAATACCAATAATAATTCTAATACTAATTCTAATACTAATAATAATGATACTAATAAGCCTAATAATACGAGTAATACTACTATTATAATAGTATTATAATATGAAGACTAAGAAGAAGCATACGAAGACGCATAACACGCATACTAATAATGATAATAATAAGGACATTAAGAAAATAGTCATACTATTATTATTAAGAGTAATATACTATTAATAGTAGTAACATTAATACTAATAATACTGCAATGGATAACAATAAGCATACTAAAAACCAGGGACGTACCCAACCCTTTTGCAACAGGTGGCATTATCAACTGGCGCTTTCAAAATAGCTGAGCATCCGCTGGACGTCCAAGAGGCCCACGAAAGCGACGACCATTGCGAGGACCGAAAGCGTGGCCCCTCCGCTGGGCCTCCCAGGAGCCCACGAAAGTGCTGACAGTTGCGCAGTTGGCAGCTCCCCCCGCAGGGAGCCGCGAGGTCCCGACGCGATCTGCGTGTCACCCCCACTCCGCTGGGCCTCCCAGGAGCCCACGAAAGTGCCGACAGTTGCGCAAGTTGGCAGCTCCCCCCGCAGGGAGCCGCGAGGTCTCGACGCGATCCGCGTGTCACCCCCACTCCGCTGAGCCTCCCAGGAGCCCACGAAAGTGCCGACAGTTGCGCAGTTGGCAGCTCCCCCCGCAGGGAGCCGCGAGGTCTCGGCGCGATCTGCGTGTCACCCCCACTCCGGTGGGCCTCCCAGGAGCCCACGAAAGTGCCGACAGTTGCGCAAGATCGCAGTTCCCCCCGCAGGGAGCCGCGAGGTCCCGACGCGATCTGCGTGTGACCCCCGCTCTGCTGGGCCTCCCAGGAGCCCACGAAAGTGCCGACAGTTGCGCAGTTGGCAGCTCCCCCCGCAGGGAGCCGCGAGGTCTCGACGCGATCTGCGTGTTCCCCTCCCAGGAGCCCACGAAAGTGCCGACAGTTGCGCAGTTGGCAGCTCCCCCCGCAGGGAGCCGCGAGGTCCCGACGCGATCTGCGTGTCACCCCCACTCCGGTGGCCTCCCAGAAAGCTCACGAAAGTGCAGAAGTTTGCCGCAGTTGGCAGCTCCCCGCTCCCACGCAGGGAGCCGCGAGTCTCGACGCGATCCGCGTGTCCCCCCACTCCGCTGGGCCTCTCAGGAGCCCACGAAAGTGCCGACAGTTGCGCAGTTGGCAGCTCCCCCCGCAGGGAGCCGCGAGGTCCAGACGCGATCTGCGTGTCCCCCCACTCCGCTGGGCCTCCCAGGAGCCCACGACAGTGCCGACAGTTGCGCAGTTGGCAGCTCCCCCCGCAGGGAACTGCGAGGTCCCGACGCGATCTGCGTGTCCCCCCACTCCGCTGGGCCTCCCAGGAGCCCGCGAAAATGCCGACAGTTGCGCAGTTGGCAGCTCCCCCCGCAGGGAGAGCGAGGGCGACAGTTGCGAAGTTGGCCAGCTCCCCCCGCAGGGAGCCCCCGGGCCGAGGTCCCGAAGCGATCTGCGTGTCACCCCCACTCCGCTGGGCCCCAGGAGCCCACGAAAGTGCCGACAGTTGCGCAGTTGGCAGCCCCCCCCGCAGGGAGCCGCGAGGTCCCGACGCGATTTGCGTGTCACCCCCACTCCGGTGGGCCTCCCAGGGGCCCACGAAAGTGCCGACAGTTGCGCAGTTGGCAGCTCCCCCCGCAGGGAGCCGCGAGGTCCCGACGCGATCTGCGTGTCACCCCCACTCCGCTGGGCCTCCCAGGAGCCCAGCAAGTGGCGAAGTTTGCGCAGTTTGGCAGCTCCCCAAGCAGGGAAGCCGGCGAGCCGCGAGAGTCCGACGCGATCTGCGTGTGACCTCCGCTCTGCTGGGCCGCTGGGCCTACCCGGAGACCACGGGACCACACGAAAGTGCCGACAGTGACGCAGTTGGCAGCAGGGAAGCGCGAGGTCCCGACGCGATCCGCGTGTAACCCCACTCCGCTGGGACCAGGAGCCCACGAAAGGACGGACCGACAGTTGCGCAGTTGGCAGCCCCCCCCGCAGGGAGCCGCGAGGTCCCGACGCGATCCGCGTGTAACCCCACTCCGCTGGGCCTCCCAGGAGCCCACGAAAGTGCCGACAGTTGCGCAGTTGGCAGCTCCCCCCGCAGGGAGCCGCGAGGACCCGACGCGATCCGCGTGTACCCCAACTCCGCTGGGCCTCCCAGGAGCCCACGAAAGTGCCGACAGTTGCGCAGTTGGCAGCTCCCCCCGCAGGGAGCCGCGAGGTCCCGACGCGATCTGCGTGTGACCCCCGCTCTGCTGGGCCACACAGGAGCCCACGAAAGTGCCGACAGTTGCGCAGTTGGCAGCTCCCCCCGCAGGGAGCCGCGAGGTCCCGACGCGATCTGCGTGTCACCCCCACTCCGCTGGGCCTCCCAGAAGCCCACGAAAGTGCCGACAGTTGCGCAGTTGGCAGCTCCCCCCGCAGGGAGCCGCGAGGTCCCGACGCGATCTGCGTGTCACCCCTGCTCTGCTGGGCCTCCCAGGAGCCCACGAAAGTGCCGACAGTTGCGCAGTTGGCAGCTCCCCCCGCAGGGAGCCGCGAGGTCCCGACGCGATCTGCGTGCCACCCCCACTCCGCTGGGCCTCCCAGGAGCCCACGAAACTGCCGACAGTTGCGCAAGATCGCAGGAGGCGACAGATGCGAAGATCGCAGCCCCCCAGAGGGCGCCGCGAGGAGGAGGTAGGAGGCAGGAGGGAGGGCGCGAGGACGGAGCGACCAGAGTGCTCTATTCAAAACGATTGCCCAACCAAGGGAGGGTTGGGAATGATTGTATGAGAAACAATACTA